GTGAATCAAATAAGGATAAGAAGACACTGAGAAGATTGGCTGGTAATTTCTTTTTGAACAATGATGTGATGTATAAGAGAAACTTTGACATGGTCCTGCTACGACATGTAGACAAGCGAGAAGCATACATGTTTTCAAGCGAGAAACTGTTTAAACAAATTTAACTCATTTCAATTGCTTGATTCAATTATGCACTAGAGGAAGGATCTAGATGATGCAAAATATCAACATATTTTCAAGTTAATTTCATTTCCCTCCTTAATTCAAATTATTTCCACTCCTAATCCCAAGCCAAAAATCCAATCCTCATTCAAAACCAATTTCCAAGCCTCATTCTCATTCCATATCGAGATCATATTTAAACCGATTTCTCCCATTCCAAAAGGACCATAATCATATCTCCACTCATTTTTCTAATTTCTCTACACTTCAAACTCTAATTATCTTTCAAATTCTCTTTCACTTTTTCACTCTCCATTTTCATTTTCATCCCTGACCTCACTAAAGCTCTTCCATTAGAATTAACAAGATCTTCATTGGAATTTTTTAATTTTATATCATTAACCTCCATCAATTCCTTTCGTCAACATCAAATCCTGCAGTAAAAGTTTGATTTAGACCTAGATCTGAATTTTGAAAGCAATTTTTTGAAGTGATTTTGAAGCAATTCTAGCTTATTACATTGTTCTTCACCTTTTCTTGTGAATAATCTTTTGGATCTCTGGTTTTCTTGATTGCATCCACCATTTTCTGTTTGCAATAATTACCAAAGCAAATCTCAGCTTAGTAGGTTGGCAATTCCTAGATCTAAGCTTGTTCTAGCTTAATTTGCATTTTCACAATGTAGTCTTTTGTGATTTATGTGTTATTTTATTCATTGATTTGCATGCTTGTTGACATTGATGTTTGATTGATTCAATTGGTGTTTGTTTCCTCATAATTGTTGTGATTTTCATGTACAATTGTATGCCCTAGCATCTGGTGTTTAGATCAAATAAGTTATCCTAAAAAGTGCTTTGCAAAATTCTGGTTCTGTTGTTTTTGCAGGTGTAACCGGTTACACCCTCTGTTGCACATCCTGGAAGTGCCTTTGTTCATGGTGTAACTGGTTACACGATTTCAAATAACCAGTTACACTTGACATAATTTGTGTTTTTGGCTTATTTTTGGGGTTGTTTTGAATCTATTCCACTTTTAACCTTCATTGATTGATATTTTTTGTATTTGCGGAATCTTCTAGAGCTATTTAGTCTTCATTTGCAGTGCATATGTGGATAATTGATACATGATTGTTGAATACATGTTGCGTGTCCATGATGATGGCTTGCATTCTAGATGCATCTTAATGTTGCATAATTGATTACATGTTAGCACTTGCTTGTTGTTGTTACATATTCATGATGCTTGGTTGTCAATTACGTGTCTACATCAATCATTTAAATGTTGACACATGCTCATACGCGTTATCGGCTGTTGAATTCCATGATTCATGTTCATGTTTAATTGCTCCATTGTTGATGCATGTTCATATTGATTGATTAATATTTTGATACAAGTTTACATGCTTTGTTTGATCTTGCATAACACATGTTCATGTAAATTCATGTTTGATCCTTGTTGAATGCACTCATGTTGTTGATACATATATTGTTGGCTTGTACATGTACGCTGTTAAATGCTGCCATTCTGTTGTTGCTGCATACATGCCTGTTCTAAAAATATGTGTTGTTAAACGTTGTTGTTCTATTATGTAAAATGCATTGTTGTTCTGAACATAATGCGTTGTTACATGTTGTTGTTTTTTCCTTATTTCGTAGCTTTTTGCTTGCTCTCGCATGTTCCCTTATGGTTTCCTAGTCCAACTTAATTTTTGATTAAGATTGGAGTAGGATAGACATTAGGGTGGTAACCCAAGCATGACAATACTAGGGTAGATTTTCCCTTTATCCTCAAAATATTTAATAAACATGATGCGAATGGTACGTTACGAGCCTTAAGTACATGGAAAAAGATGAACGGGAGTATTTCCTTACCTCTTTTTAGAGTATTTTTTACGCGAGACGTTTGGATCGTTTGTATAAAGTACTTGCTCCTATTGTCATAGACTTTAGTACAATACACATCTCAAACTTATTTTCAAAATTAACAAAACACTCAACAAATCCAAATCATTTTCCTTCGGAATTTTCTTTAAAAATTTCTAGAAAGGGAATGTCATGTCTATTCTATCGCAAACAGGAAACGCATAAGTCTCCATGTAATGAGTGGCAATACACCTAACTGCTGAAACGCGTACGTAGCATCGCTCATAAAAAACGCTAAACAGAGCAAAAAATTTCAACAAGAACTGCAGAGTTCTAATTTCCTCTGGGATAAGTAGGAACTGAGTTGTAAGATTCAAACAAACTCAATAGTAAAACCATTTTCTTTTTCCCCAATAATTCATTTCATGCATTCCCTTAACAGGTAAGTTTTAGATATGCACACCCTTTGAGTAGAACAACAAGAGTGGATGAGTACAACGTACGCGAGGGGTGCTAATACCTTCCTCTTGCGTAATCGACTCCCGAACCCCGAATTTGGTTGTGAGACCATGTGTCGCATCGCTGCGAAGAGGGGCCGGCAAGGACAGAAGAGTCGCCACCGTTCGTTATTTATCCTAAAAGAGGGAAAGGAAACGATCAGAGAAAACCTAACAAAAAAGGGAAAAGACAGATCATCGCAACCATATCTCGGGTTCGGGAGTCAGTTACGCAAGGGGAATGTATTAGCACCCCTCATGTCTGTCGTACTCGACGGGATCCACGATTTGTTGTCTATCTAAAAGGGTGTTTACTATCTAAGTTATGGCTCAGGGACAAAAGAAAATAAAAGAGAAGAGACTCGATAGAGCATCGTCGCTCTATGCCTACGTATTCCCTCGTGCAATGGAAAAGTCAGAGTCAACGTAGTTCGGCTAACTACGGGTGAAGGCGGGGGAAGGTTGCTCGCCAAGACATCGCCGTCTTGTGCTTACGTATTCTCATCTGGTACGAGAAATCAGAGCAAACATAGTTCAGGCTAACAAGAACATCGGTTGGCTCAAAATGTTTTAGGCCCGAGTAGGGTTAAAGCTTAGTTCTAGTAGTTAGGTGTATGCAGCTCGACCATTGGAAACTTAGGCGTTACCTGTTTGCGGTAGAACCAAGAGTTAACAAAACTCTCCTTATGAAAAAGATTTCCAAATTAAGGTCCCGAAGGATAAAAATATTTAAAGTTTGTTTTTTTGTTTTTTAGAGAAGAAGTGCATTGATTATTGTTTGTAATTCATGTTGCACTAAAGACTATGACCTAGGAGCTAATGCGTCGCATATCGTTCAAAGGACATACGCTAAACACTCTAGATAATTGAATCGGGACGAAATGTAGCGCTAAACCGTCGTAGCTCGACTTATGATGAGAGTCGAACTATAGGAGGTCGCGTAAATTGATATCCGTGCTAAAAACAAGATAGAGAAATGATATTGAGGACCATTCTCCGATTAAATAGTGTCACACGGACAAAAGAATGGTGGGATCTCGTCTTAATCACAAACTCGCGTTAATTAGTCGAGGGAAACCTCTCACGATTCCAAAGTATAGAAAAATGATCCAAATGATCATTCTCTACAGATTTGAAATAATGAAGGTTATCAACCTCGAGTATTTACATTCGTGAGTCGAAAGACTTCATATATCGAAAAAAATTAAATAAAATCGAAAATGAAGAAGAAATTGAAAGAGAAAAGAAGGTGGCCTCGGATAAATTATCATCTATCAATAATATGACCGATAACAACTTATGGAGGTCTCGTCATCGACCAAAAACAATAAAAATGAATAAAATTGGAAATGAAAATGTGAAAAGAAGTTTGGTCTCGGATTTATTATTATTCATCAATAATTTGACGAACAATAAATTTGAGGCCTCTTCATCGACCAAAAACGATAAAAATGAATAAAATCGGAAATGAAAAGGTGAAAAGAATTTTGGTCTCGGATTTATTATTATTCATCAATAATTTGACGAACAATTTTGAGGTCTCTTCATTGATCGAAAATAATAAAAATGAAAAAAATAAAGTCAAAATGAAAATAAAACTAAATGTTAAGGCTTGTTAAAAGTAAAAATAAAAAATTTAATAATAATAATAATTTTTTCCAAAGAAAACAAAATAAGGAAAAAAAAAAACTTAAAAAAGAGAACACTGGTGGGGGTGTATCAGATCCATGGATATGCAGAAACAACAATATGGGCCTTGAGCCTACAAGCATACACAAGGCCAAGAACAAACCTTACATGGATGTGCCTAGAATGCAGTATGGGTGTGCAGATAAACCACCTATGGGCTCATAGAGTCCAACATCCCACCAACATCTCACTAATTAAAGTCACATGCCAAACCGCAGCTTTATACACTTTTGAGAACTAAAAACAGAAACATGGCGCAGCTCTCTATGAGACCACACAAAACAACGTCTCAACTCTAAAAGCTATTTACCATCCCCCTTTTTTAAAGAAAAAAGAAATCACAAAGATCAACTCAGGGTAGAATCCACAACAATCAAAGGAGGTACATCCAATTCCTACCTTCTATCTCGCCTCAGTTCGCGTGATTCGGGATTGATTTAGGAATGGATTTGTTGTTTGGAACTCTTTCTTCTTCATCCTTAGTTTTGTTCTTTGGTTCGGATTGGGGCTTTGATTAGATGTAAATTAGTAGGTTTGTAAAAAATGAAGATCTTTAGAGTTGCGGCTTTGGTTTGAAGATGTGAGTCGGATTGAAACCGTATGAAGAAGGTTGGGGCTGAGGGGAGAAGATGATTTATTCGATTTCAGATTTGTGAAGAGGAGAGTTGCAGAAGAAGTTGGTTTTCAGATTTGAGCTGTATTTGAAGGTTGATAGTGAGGGAAAGGGAATCGGGAAGAAGAAGGATGAAGGGCCTTGGTTTTTTTTTTTGCCGACAGTAGAATATGCAGAATGCCCAGAAAAATCAAGGTTTGAAGGAAATTTTTGGTTTAGAAATATTGTTCCAGATTTTAAATATATAGAGGTTATGTTTTTGTGAATGGGGGAAGAAGAGGATCTCCAGAATTTTTCATTGCGGTCCCTTTTATAGGAGGGGTAGAGAGAGTATTTGGGGATGATTTGAGCTAGAAATTATGTGACGTATTTCCGTCTTTTCCGTTTGCAGGTCATGGTGAATCCACAGATTGTGGATTGTGGAATATGGTGCGCTGCGTCATTTGTTTCGCAGCAAGTTTTGTGATGTCAGTCGTTCCTTCAAGATGCTACTTGTGCGTTTTTTCTTTCTGTCGTTCATCCATATATTTGTTGTGAAGGATGCGTTGTGATATTGTTTATGTTGTAAGTCATTTTGTTGCTTTGGTTGTTGCATTTTGATGCTAGCATCACGCTGAAAATTTGTTTTGTTTCGCACTGCTAGCTTATGTTGTGGCTCGGCTTGTTGCACACGGCTTGATGTTCACATGTTGTTTGCAGCGTGATTGTAAGCTCGTGAGTTACGCCTTTACGTTGAGGGGCCATGAACAATTTGATTTTTTTTAAAACATTGCCACTTTGTAAGATATCAAAAAAAACTGTGGCCTGCGTTTGGAAAGTTGAAGAATGGGTGCGCAAGGTGTTGTGGTGGTTTAGTGTATTGGCCGTTTCATACATGATAAGTCTTATCCCTTTTTTTGTGTGTTGTAATACAAAATAGGCTTCCAAATTGTAATTCATTGTGATTTTTTTTCACATTTTTGGTGGACTTTGTGTTGGATTCAAAAGGTTAATGGGCTTTGTTTTTTATGGGCTTGTATCATTCTCGTAAAAAATTTGTAATGGCATGATTCCATTCACAATGACTCACATCCTTAATTTCTTAGTTTTTTGTCTTACCCAAAAATCCATTATGATAGCTTGCAAATAAAACCTTGTCATCACATAACTATAAGAACAAAACTCTATCCATGATTTGCAAAATCTCAAAATATTAATCTTGAAATCAATTCGAACATGGATCTCGAAATAAGCATGAGTTATCCTTTCCTTGAAGCATAAATGGTCATAACTTGAACAAATTTGAAATAAATCTAACCATAACTTATCTTGTTTAATTCACATAACCTCGATGTCAATCTTAGGATATGACTCAAAATACATTGGAACAAAATTCGGAATCATTTTGAAAAAGGATTCAAAAATCACTTAGAAACGATTGATCATGCCTTGAAAGGAACTAATCCTATCACTTGGGTCGTTGATCTTGAAACAAAATCTTGCTTGACCAAGATTAGGTCAAACCATATGAACTGAAACATTACTGCACACATAAATGCGATGGTAATCTCACATGAATCTTGGTCTTAGGCAAAATAGAAAATGAATGTAGAAGCAACATATTTTTGGATTTTTTTAATACTAGTTAGTGGATGAAAGTACAGATGAAGGCCATATGTACAGGTAGGACAAATTTGGGGTATGACAATGGCGTCATGACTTAAAATCAATCTAGAAGTCCAATGATCATGCCTTGGACGTTGTAATCATGACTATGTCTTGAACTTCATGGGCTTGTATCACTTTGAAATGCATTAATCACATGCTATCAATCCAAATCTTCCATGGGTTCATAAAAATAAGGGCATGTCTTTCTTTCATATCCACATGAATTTAACATAGCTCATAAAAGGTAGAATCCTGATGGACATACACACAGGGGTTTTATGACTTTCAAACTTCCTTCACCAAACCTACAAATCTAACAAAAACTAAAATAAAACGGTTAGTTATGCGTGAATGATGGACTTAAATGATATGAAAAGCTCAAGGAATATAAGGGTAAAATTTGGGGTATAACAATTGCCCCTATTTAAATATCTTCAACGGATGATGTGAGCGATGAAAATCTTCGCGAAATCATGGTGGAAGGTATTTAAATACAGATAACCGAAAATTTTGCCCTTAGATGCAATGATATGCAATGCTATGGGCAAAAGAAACTAAACTATAAATGTTGACATGTTATGAATTCTAATATGATGAAAATGATGGAATGATAAATGCAAAATGCAGACGAAACGAAAACAAACAGAGACGAAGCCAAACACAATGAGTAACCACTCACTGGGGATGACAACGCACTAGGGAACAAGAACAAAACTGGGGAAATCTAAAGCGATGGACCAACAGGTTCAGTCATTACCAATTGACACTTTAGAAAGAAAGATGACAAAATAAATCCTTAATGGAGATAGAACCGAGGAAATACCCTCCACTGGGGAATATCCAGAGTAGTTGCTCGACAGGTTCAGGCATGACCGATTGATACTCTAGGATAAAAGGTAAAACAGGATCCACATGGCAGTAGGATCATGCAAACAAATGCCGAAGTTTTCAAACAAGAAATAACATCCAAGCTATTGGAAATTTCTTTAAACGAAAAGATCAAACGGGATCTTCAGGAAACATCAGAAAAAATACAGGGTAAAATTCTTCTGTATGCCAAAATAATTGGACTTCATGGGGAAACACCCTGATAAGCTTCTCGAGAGAGACTGCCACTTATTGTCAAAAGGGACTTAAACCACCAAGAAAGGATAATCTTCTCAAAGATAGAGACTGCCACTCATCTAGGGATATGGATAAAATGATAAGCTTCTCAGGAGAGACCGCCACTTATCTGGAAAAATTAATGGAAACAAACTTCTCGAGGGAGACTGCCGCTTGTTGCTGGAAGGGATGAAATAGGATAAGCTTCTCTAGAGAGTCTGCCACTTATCAGAAATAAAGATAGATTGACAAGCTTCTCATGGGAGACTGCTGTAACACCCATTTTAATTATTTAGTCTTTTTGGTGTTATTTTATGTTGGTGTGTCCAAGGTGGGGGTGTGTCTGAGTATTATGTGGCGGGTGTCCTTAATTTATAGGAGTTATGTATTACAATGTAGAGGTGATATTATAATATAAATAATATTGGTGATAATTTAATTAATAGTAATATTATTATTATTATTATTATTATTATTATTATTATTATTATTATTATTATTATTATTATTATTATTATTGGTTGTATTATTATTATTATTATTATTATGATTATTATAATTATTATTATTAGTATTATTATTATTATTGGGATTAAAATATAAAATAAGAAGTTGAGGGGATTTGGGGAAGTTGGAGAGAGAAGTGAAAAGTCACGATAGAAACTGTCAGAGAAGATATTGGGAGAGACCGTGAGAACGAAGAACAAGGAGAAAGGGAAGAGGCCAGGGCTATCGATTTTTGAGGAATTCTTCATCAATCAGAGCGATAACCGAGGTAAGGGGGAGAAATTGATTGGGATTGGTAAATTCATGAAATTGCGTAGAGGGGATTCCTTAACCCCGTAGGGATTTGATGCGTATGAGTTTTATATTGGCATGCTTATTATTATTGTTGATGTTGTTGAATTGATGAATGCTGATGATGCATTTTGGTGTATATGTTATGGTGATGTTGGTGAGATTCTATGTTGTTACTGTAGTGTTGATGATGACCATGATTATGGCTTTGGTGAGGTTCTGAGCAACTCTGAGGTATTGGTGATGTACCGAAATGTTAATTATGGAGTGAAACTTAGGGAGCAATTGATGAGAGTAATATGTGATAATTGTAATGTTAATAGTACAGCAGTTAAATAGTGAATGATAGGCTTGAATTGGTCCAGATAGCACCATAAGACAATGAGGATTTTGGGCATCGCAACATTCGTGAGGGTTCGCTTGGCGAGTGGTGGCGAAGGTTCGCCTTGCGAATGTTAGCGAGCAGTGGCGAGTAATTCCAAATAAACTCCCAGACCTAAAGGGCATGAAGTTTTCCTGGCGAGTGTGGCCAGCGAAGGTTCTCCTGGCGAATGATTCCTTCGCCTGGTGAATGCGCGATAGCTGAGAAGGACTTCGCGAGCAGATTCGCCTAGCGAGCTGGTAGCGAGCATTCGCTAGGGCTTCGCCTGGCGAATGAACCAGCGAACATGACAGCAGAATGTGGTTTTTGGTACTGTTTTGCCTTGTGCATTAGCCTTGTAGAATCTCTTTGATCATGATGACTGTAGGGATGGTGATTGAATGATGTAGGGTGCATACTTGGTGATAGGAAGTGGATACCATAATATTTAATTTAAGTAAATTAATTAAGTGGTGTATGAAGTATGTGAAGTAGGGTGAAGTGATCAGTAGGATCGTGTGTATCCGGTGTGTTGGAGTGTGAGGATACTTGGTGTTAGAAGGTGGACTTTCTTAATATTTAATTAATTTATATAATTGAGTGGTGTGTGATCGTTTGTAGGACCCCTTGAGTTGTGATAAGTAGAGGAATGATGTTTAGTAGTGAAGAGTGTATACTTGGTGTTGAATGGTGAAATTATGAAATGTTGGATTTAGTAGATATAATTAATTGGTGGGTAAGGTCTATGTATATATGCATATATAGAATGCATAGTGAGATGATCGGGAGGATCAGGTGCACTCGGTGTTTAAATATGAATTTCCCTTATTACTCGATTTGATTAATAAGTAGATTGGTGTGTGGATTATATGGGGCATGGTGAGGTGATCAATAGGATCGTGTGTACCCAGGACGTTGGGGTATGAGTATATTGGGTGAGTAAATGTGAACTTCCCTGTATTTAAATAAATTAATATGATTGATTGGTGTATGACATATCTATGTGTATGTGATGTATGGTGGTGTGATTTGAGAATCGTATGCACAATGTATGCTTGTGTTAATTTGTATGCATTTGGTGTTATGCATATCATGGTGTAGTGGTGGGATGAGTCATTGCCCAGGGGAGTGTATGTGATTCATTCTTATTCCTTTGAGTGGGGAATGGTGGGGACAGATCATGGCCAAGGACGAGTGTATGTGATCTATCCGGGTTCCATTGAACGAACCAATGAGTCGGTACCGCATGCATGGTGTTGCGTTGCATATTTGCATTATGGTGTGTTGTGTTGGTGATTGACCGTAGGTCGTGATTGATGAATGTTGGGTGATGAATTATATGATTGGTGTATTTACTACCTTTATTTCATGTATTATATTACCGATAATTTTGATCATGTTTTCTCACCTCTTTGTTGTTGTTGTGGTCTTTGCTTCCTCGGAAGTACAGATAATCCAGGTACTTAGCTAGCTTGGATATGAGGTGTGCGAGTCGAGTCTTAGGATGCTCTGATATGTAGCACGGGACATGGGTGTTTTAATGTTTTTATGTCGAA